TCCGGTATGGAGTTATAGGTAATCTTGATAAGTTTTACAGTATATGGCAACCATTTCTAGATCATTTGGAACAATGTAATGTTGACTCCGACCAGCAATGTAGTGCTTAGTATGTTGTCTGCCCCCCATTGAGTGCTTCTTTGTTTTTCTACTGAAACTGCTTATATGCCCTGATTACCCTTAAAAGTCGTTTTTTCTTTCTTTTATTACAATTTTTTTTATTATTATTTTATGTATTTAGTCTTTTTTTCTTGTTGTTTTGTTTGGTGTCTATTATATAATTTAAAACTAATAAAAATACATTCCAAAAAAAAAAAAAAAAGCACGATGCCAGTTTCAATGCCAGGGGTAATAGAGGCTCCCTGATGCCCGAAATATATATGTAGTATAATTACCAAATGATATAACTGGGAGGAAAAATATTGAAATATATATTTTCCTCCCATCTCGTATTTATTCCCTTTAGGGGTTCTGCCTACACGTCATTTTCTTTCCGAACACGGTATTGGGATGCGACGGATTGCGGGGGGTATGGGGGGCGGATCACGATGCCGGCTCAACATCGTGATGTCTATCAGCCATCGGCGATGGACGATGGCATTGTCTATCGGCCCAACTCTAACACACACACACACACTACAAACACAGACCAATGCACTGTAAGTGCGCTTTCTCGTTGCACATGCATGTCATATGTGTTGTTATTCAGCTAGATATAAACATGTTGAGAGTGTAACTAACTTTTATTAAGTTGCTCAGCAGGATAATCTGACAGTAGTACAAGTTTTGGGTTGCTTTCCATTGAGTTGTCAGTGGTTGTAGATAGTGATCGACCGATATTGATTTTTTTATAACCGATATCGATACCAATTATTTGCATGTTTATGTGCCTTATAACCGATATGCAGAACCGATATTTATTTACTGTTATAAAGTAAATAAATGACTGAGTGAAGAACATACTTCACTTTGGTTTTTCCTCTTTTCAGTCATCCTTTTTTTTTTTAAAGTGTTGAAAATTAGCAGTCTTTCATGTTAAATTTAATCTTCA